CTACTATAGTTGTAAGGGAGGAGAGACGACTGTTGCCTCTTCTTCCTACCATCAATCCCATATTTCCTCCAACCATAGAGTCTACTGACCAAGAAGGTGGCCCTAGCTGTAGTCGTAAGAGAAAGTACAAGGAAGAGGTTGGCAGTATTCATTGGAAAGACTTGAAGGTTGCCATGCAACCAAGTAGTTTTAAGTATGTCAATAAGTGCCTGGCAGGACGTCGATCCACTGTTGATGAGCTTGGCAAGCCGCTATATGAAAACGAATCAGATCGTGATCGGATAATGAGGCTATTTTCTTATGTAAGTGTTACTTTGTCATTTCTTTGCTTTGTCCCCTCTTTTTCCTGGTAGTGACGATTATCTTGTCATGTAGGTCATAACCGAGTACGATGACAGATTATGAGAAGTCGAGCGGTACAAGGCAAAGTTTAAAGAGAATAAACAACTTGTGAATGACGCCAGAAAAATGAGCAAAGCTTTGGTTGATGTCATCCGCCTTAAGGATGAAAACTTTGAGAGTTTGAAGAGGCGGAATGGTGAGAACGTGAGAACGTGAGGCTCAAGAAATAATTGGAAGCGACTAAGGAACAGTTGGAGACAACCATCCTTGAGGTTTCCAAGGTTAAAGGGGAGTTGGATAGTGCCTTGGTTGAGGTTTCTGGGCTGAAGATGAGTATCCCAACTGAGAGGGATGCTGCTGTGCAAGAGTTCTTAGGTTCTCAGGCCTTTCACGATGCTTTTAGACCTCACTGCATCCGAGCGGCTAATTTTGAGAAAAGGAAATAGATGGCCGTCCTTGAGCGTTATGACAATGGAAGCATTATCCGAAAGTACCGTGATGAGGTAGATGAGTACCGATAAAAGGGTGAAGCCTTCGTCCTCGCAGTTAATCCTAATAGTGATGACTCTGATAATGAGGCTAGTATCAGTGGGCAGTCTCAGGAGAGTGAGGATGGTCCTGGAGATGCTGAGGAAGGTGGTGATGACGATGGGGGGTTGAAACGCAGAGTGATATTGTCAGGGGTTCGGCCTCAGATGAGGATGACTCGTAGTGACCTCTTTTTCTGCATGTACTCTGGATGTACGAGTTTGTTATTTGTGTTGCATGTGCCATGTACTCTGGATGTACTAGTTTATTGTTTGTGTGGCATGTGCCATGTACTCTAGATGTACTAGTTTGTTGTTTGTGTGGCATGTGCCATGTACTTTGGATGTACTAGTTTGTTGTTTGTGTGGCATATGCCATGTACTATGGATGTACTAGTTTGTTGTTAATTACCAAGTATTTGCACTATCATTGATGAATGCCTGGCTATGTTTGAGCAAATCCTTTGTTTAGATATAAGCCATAACTTGGATGTACTAGTTCTGTCCAGTACTGTTTGTTTATTTGTATAGTCTTGTTGACATATACTTAGACTTGATTTCCTGTTGGAAGCATTCATGTCGAAGCTTTGAACCCGAGTGTTTCATTGCTAGGAATTTAAGAGGATTAGGATCGAGTTGTCTAAATCACCTCTTTATTGAATTCATGCCGAATCTCACCTCTTTATTGAATTCATGCCAAATAGTCTTCGTTACATAGGATGCCGAACGACTGAAGCTTAACACTTGTACAATGTGAATTTACTTGTAATAGTACTTCAAGTGATCAGCGTTCCATGGATGGCCAAGGGTCTTGCCATCGGAGCTTCTAAGCTTGTAGGAGCCAGGGCAACTGATGCCAATAACTTCAAACGGTCCATCCCAGTTTGGACTAAGTGTTCCTTCACTCGGGACTCTGTCGCAGAGTAATCTTTTCTTCAATACCTAGTCCCCTACTTTGAAAGAACGAGGTTTGACCTGGAGTCATAGTAGTTGGAGATGCGCTGCTTGTAGGTGACATTCCTCAAGTGAGCCTGGTTTCTGTGTTCCTCGACTAGATCTAAGTTGAGGGTAAGTTGTTTGTCATTTTCACTTTGCACGTAGTTCTGGACTCGGAACGTTGCTTGCTCAAGCTCAATTGGGACAACTACCTCTGTACCAAAGGCAAGTAAGAATGGGGTTTCTCATGTTAATGTCCGATACGAAGTGCGGTATGACTAAAGAACTTAGGGTACAAATTCTGGCCAACAACCTTTAGCCTTGTCCAAGCTGGTTTTCAAAGTTCACTTGATTATTTTGTTGATGGCTTCAACTTGTCCATTAGACTGAGGATGAGCTGGGAAGGCAAAACATAAGTTGATGTTGAACTTAAAGCAAAACATCCTGAACTTATTGTTGTCGAACTGTCGCCCGTTGTCAGTGACTATCGCATTGGGAATGCCGAATCTGCAAAGGATGTTCTTCCATACAAAGTCTTCTATTTTTGCCTCAGTAATGGTTGCCAAGGGTTCTACTTCGGCCCACTTTGTGAAGTAGTCAACTGCAACGATTACATAGCGGACATTGCCCTTCCCTGCAGGCATTGGGCCGATCAAGTAAAGTCCCCATTGGGCGAATGGCCAAGGGATGATCATGAGAGTGAGCGGCTCGGAAGGAGAGTGAGGAATAATTGCGTAGCGTTGACACTTATCACATAAGTGGGATATTCTTATGGCATCTTGGTGGAGTGTTGGTCAGTAATATCCTTAATGAAAAGCCTTGTGTGCTAGGGATCGAGATCCAGCATGATCTCCGCAAACTCTTTCATGTATTTCCCGAAAGTCAGTTTCTGCCTCTGCGGGCGTAATGCATCTTAGGTATGGTAGGTTAAAACCCCGTTTGTAGAGTTGGTCATTAATGATCAAGTAACGGGTAGCCTTGTATCGAATCTGCTTAGCTTGGACTTTGTCATTTGGAAAGGTGCCATGAGCAAGGAATCTATAAATCGGGGTAATCCAACTATCCCCCTGTTGTAAGTTGCACACTTCCACAGCCATGGTGCTTGGTGCTACCAACAATTCGACTTGAATTTTTCTCCCAATCTTGTCTTCCACAGCTGAGGCGAGGCGAGGCGAGCCAAAGCATCTGCATGACTGTTTGCCGCTAGAGGAATTTAGGTGATCTGGTAGTGGAAGTGCTGGAGTAACAATTGTGTTTATGCCAGATATGCTGCCATAGAGCTATCCTTAACATCAAAGTTGTTGGTGACCTGGTTAACCACCAATTGGGAGTCACTGAAGATATCAATTCATTTAACCCCAAGGTGTTTGGCTAAACATAAGCATGCTAGGAGGGCTTCATATTCGGCCTTATTGTTCGACGCCTTGAATTTGAAACGAATAGCATACTTCATCGCCACTTTGTCAGGGGTCATAAGGATTAGTCCTGCTCCACAACCCTGTTGGTTGGACGAGCCATCAACATATAGACTCCATGCTGGGGCTGTTGGTTCTATTTTCTGAGCTTCCGAGGGTAATGAAACCACTTCTTTAGGCGTAGAAACAATGTCAACATGATATGTGAAGTCGGCGATGAAGTCTGCCACTGCTTGGCCCTTCTCAGCTGGCTTTGGTTGGTAAGAGATGTCAAACTCACCCAATGATATCGCCCATTTGATCATTCGCCCGGAAGTGTCAGGACTTTGGAGTATCTGTCGAAGAGGATGATTGGTAAGCACGATGATGGAGTGTGCTTGGAAGTAAGGGCGAAGTTTTCGAGCAGACATGACCAATGCTAGAGCCAATTTCTCAATGTTGGAGTATCGTGTCTCTGCATCTTGTAAGGCCTTGCTAGCGTAGTAGACAGGTCGTTCAACATTACCATCATTTTGAATTAGAACGGAACTTACTGCTGAAGCCAATACCGACAGATATATAATGAGAGTGTCACCAACCTCAGGTTTGGAAAGCAGATGGGCTTTACTCATGTAGTCTTTAAGGTTCTTGAATGCCTCAGCACATTCATCAGTCCATGTAATGTACTTCTTACTTCCCTTAAGTGCTTTGAAGAAATGAGCACATCTATCTGTGGCCTTAGAGATGAACCTAGTTAAGGATGCCACCTTGCCAGTAAGGCTCTAGGTGAAAGAGTCATTCTTCATTCCTCTTTCCCGCCATATACTAGTTAGTTGATGGATGAACGGAGGAAGGTTAATTTGTAGATATACAGAACTTCTAGCTAGACTTTATTTTCTAATCTTAAGTTCGATTCTTGCCAAAAGTGAATTTGAACCACATTATTACTAGCTCATTGTGAGGCTTGGCCTACCTCTCCACCCTCTAGTCTAGATAATATTGTTTGTTCAAAAAAAAAATCCTGAAACATTGTGCTACTCAAACTTTCTTTGCAAAAAAAAAAAGGGTACAAAGTAGCACTACAAAAAAAATAGCCACTGCACACAATAAATTATTTGTGCCATTTGAGGCCAAAAAGCACCAACAATTGTGCTCATAGAACAATAGCAACTATATTTGTATATATGCCCTCTATGGGCATCACCATTGTTGATAGCACACAATATCGCTATTTGTGCTCAAAGAGTTTAACACAAATAATAGCCTATTTGTGTCTTAATTCTGACAACCCTGTTAGATTGTCGGGTGACAAAATCATATGCGCACAATTTTCAAATCGTGCCCAATAGGTTCTATTTAATAAAAAAAATATTAATGTAGAAAATTTTGAATTTTTTTTTAAATCAACAAATCCCACAATATACACTATTTCAGTTATTTACAACAAATCCCACGTAATTTACAACCAAGCCCTTTTTCAGAATCCTATCCTCCCCCACTGCTCTGCAGCTGTTGAACCAAGTTCTTCGTGCAATGAAGCTCACTTAACCACATTCCCTTCTTGCTTAAACTTAAGAGAGTCCCACAACTTTTTCTAAATTGAAAATAAATCGTAGCTGAATAAGAATCTTAGTAAAAAGCATAGACTAAGAAATATTTATACCTTACAAATAACATCCATTTCATCAAACATTATCGCATGCAAACCACTCTAGTCTCCAGGGGAATTAAGGACATAATGAGATTAGAAATTATTGAAGAACCAACCTAAGTGCACTTGACATGTATATATTTCCCTTACCGCGAGCCCTTTGATCATTCTCAGCATTAGCAGATAGATTCCTAACATTTTTCTCAGTTTCACCAACTTGCTCAAAACTTCATGGCCATTAACAATCTAGCACAGTTCACAAAAATAGAAATCTCATCAATCACCAATGCAGATAATAACTAACTTATCTAAGGATAAGTTGCATATCCAGAATCATTCAAACATGCTCAAATAGCTTTGTTACAATAATGTACTAGCATCAAAATGTTGTGTTAAATCATGATTCGGCATGGTTCAATGTTTACAGCTGGCAGAATTTAATCGATTCATTACCTAGCCTGTTATGAAAAATAAGAATACAAGATTGTGACAATGAGTATCTAGTTCTTAATTTTATCTTAGTTTCATGTGTCATCAATTGGTAAGTCTTATTTGAAATTACAGCTGAAACATAGAAAAGTAATCATTCAAATGAACAGAACAAATCTTAGTCCTAAGAGATTTGGAACTCTCAGAAATTTAATAATTAAAGAAAAAGGTGGATCAAACTCCAAATCTTTGGTTCTTTCTTGTTCAACATCTTTCCAATTTGACAAGCCATGAGAATTTTTAAAGTACCAGGTGGCCCAGCATACCCTTTACATGCTTGATCCCTTATCTGGAAGATCAAAGTATTTCTAGTAAGGAGTGTGGTATAAAGTTATACCAAAAAGATATCAGTGCAACTAGAAGAATCAGTTATCTTACTTATTTGTCACATGAGGAGGGAAACATGGGATGCAAAAGCTCTTCAAAATATATCTGCAAACTCAGCACCTAGGCCACCAATTCCAAGTGTTTGAAGATTAAACTCATTGTGCCTGACAATGTTGCTACTTGTAGCTTCATGCTAATTTACAATCTGACAAATACAACTCAGAATATCAAATTTCAATACATTATTTGGTATTGTATACTATCTAAAATAATACTAAAAAATGTTCACCTGAAAATGGCCATCATATCATGACTCCGATATATGTAGCTAAATAATTTATCAAATGAGCAATTGCAAAAAATAAATTAAGAAACAATTGAAGAGATATGATATCTACACCCTTAGCAAGAGCAAGGCCAATCCTTTCAAAGAGAGAGAGATATTACCTAACACCGACATCATCGACACTGCCGATAGCCATACCGGTAAAGAGACTAGCAAGGCCACAAGCTAGATAGCCATACAGGTACTGATGATCACAACAATGATAAGTCCATAAATACCCAACACTATAAAGTTGTGTTAATAACTGATTAGCAGCTCCTGATCAAAGAATGTAAACAAACAACTTTATAGATTGGATTATGTCTTTGTTGCACTGTAATACAAAAGAAAGAAAAAAATCACAACCAATTTTAATACAATCAATTCAAACATTACACATAAACTAAAAATTCTAGAACATTAGAAATATGGAAAGGAAACTAATGCAGATACTATTTGATTAAAAAGAATTAATTAACAAAAACTTTAAAGTCATATATAAGATAATATTTTAAAATTGCAAAAGTATAGAGGTAGGTTTACATCCCACGTGAAAAACCATAGAGGTATGAACTCAGTTTCTCTCAGATTTTCATAACTTAAAAAATCAAACCACATAATTAAGTATAAATTTAACTGAGATCAGCTCAAATACCTCCAAGCTTATCATACAACTCTACAACTAGGTAACAAAAATACAGACTATCCAATTTTGAATTTCCAATTGATCGATCACAAGGCATCAAAGTCAAAAACAAACCCCTTAACCATCTAAACCCCTTTGCCTCCAAATAATGTGGAATCCCAAAAAATTATGATAAATTTGAGAAATTAAACAAAAACAAGGAAAACTTGATTGCGAATTAGGAAAAATATAAAACAACTACCTCTTTATGGCATTGATCTGAGGAACAGTGAAGACGATGGTGCTTCCTTAGAATCTTAGATCCGATCTCAGGCTTCACCAACTCGACAAGTTTGAACTCCTGCAGCTTCTTCAACTCCATCTGAAGCTTGTCTTGCTCTTAGCCCTTTGTTTGGAGCTTTTCCTTCTTGATCTTCAAGATCTCCTCCTTCTTAAGGAGCTTCTCGGTTTCTCCTTCTAAAGCCTCATTGCCTGAAGCTTCTCCTACATTTCTTCAAGTTCTTTCTCAAACGACAGACAGTTGGGATCTGAGCGTGAGATGCAACGAGAGGGAGAGACGGATCGATTGAGATAGAGAGAGATGTGAAGGCATTGGTGTTTCTCAAATCTGATGCATGGGTGTTTTTCCAAGAAAAAAAGAAAGAAAATCTCAAATCTGAGAGAAGTGAGAGAGGTAGAGAAAGATGCATAGATTTTGTTTGGTTGAGAAAGAGGGAATTTGGGTAAAGATAGACAAAGGGAGGGGTTAAAGGGAGAGAGAGGGAAGTGGGGTGTGGCGGCTAGGTGGGTTAAGCAGGAAAGTGGGGTGTGGGTGAGTTAACTGAGAGACAGAGAGAAACATAGAAAGTGGGGTATGTGTGGGCCATAAGTATTAATTAAAAGTTGGCACAAATGATCATTTGAGTCCATTATTTTTAGGGAGTTTTAATTAAAAGCCCATGGTACTGTTCACTTTAACGAAAAATCATATTTTTACACTAAAAAGTCAAACCTGGTACTATTCACTTTATCCTTTATTTTGTCCTTATCATTAAAACTCAAAGTTTTCAAACTCTTTTCATTAGTTTTCCTTTATTTTTATAATGATGTCTTGAAAAAATATTTGTGCCAAATTTGTAGAAGAATGGGCACATTAATTAGTGCCTTTATACAAAGGAAACAAATACAATTTTTTTGTGTGTAAAATTGGTTAGTTACCCACAAAATGATTAATTGTGTCCTCAATTTTGTATCCATAGACCATTTTTCTTGTAGTGTAGCACCCTTCTTTGGTCAATTGGAGAAAACTAGAGCATTAGAAAAATAAATAGGATGTTTGTAAGAGGAATGATGATTGATAGGTAGAAATAATTGTATGAAATGGGTCCACTATCATGGTGGTGTCATGGATTATTGATAAAAGGATGTAGAGCAAATATTATGAATGACCTTGTATTAATAAAATGTGAGAATGACCTTGTATTAATGAACTAAGACAGCACATTAAAGTGAGCCTGTTTTATATAACCCGGCCTCTCTCTAAATCGACAGAAGAATGTACATCTTATGTGTTTTCCATGCACTACATTGTGTGCTTATTGTACACTTTCATTACCAATGCTATTAAAACTATGAAGTTTTAATAAAACACTTCCAGTACTGTTCACTTTTAACGAAAAACTATATTTTTACATTTTGTTAGTTTTCCCTTAAAACTAATTAATATTAGTATGTAGAGAATGTGCAAACAAATTTTTAAATCTCTTATGCTAACTTTTCTTGGTCAATCGAAATATTTGGTACAAATTTGACTACACCCTTTTTCCTCCAATTTATCGAGACATCCTTATATAGAATGGAATTGGATATGATCATGCAATAAAGACCACTTGCCTTGTGAATGCAAAGTACCGACTAGGACTGCTCCATATGATCGTTGCACTCTCGCATGAGTGTGGGACCAAATGAAATCTGCAGTGGATGCCTCCAAGTCAATCGGTGCGTCTTTCCTTTTCATTGTCTTCGTCTGCCCAAGACTTCCTCTATATATAAATTAGTTATGTATTCAATTTTCTCATGCTGTTGGTCTACTCCTCTTTCCGGATTTGGAGCAGATTGGGTGTAATCTTTTGTGCATCTACTGAAAAAAAAATGAGAAGCGTTACGGAAAAAAAAAATTGAAAAGCTAATAACAATTATCAATGTTATTTATAATTTAAAGATATTATATACTAGAGATTTTTTCATGTGACCGAAATACGAATTAATACATTACATGTCATAATAACAAGTGAAAAAGTAAAGTTTTTTTTTCAAATGTTCTTCCACTTGTATTTTAACACGTAGTGTACGGACTCTTGAAAAATCATTCTACATGCACTGTATATTTACGAGGAGCCATGAAGTACGTATAGTTTGACTCACCGCGCGGAAGGACATATGGCGGCTACTTTGGTTGCCATTGCTACTTGGTGCATTAGCTGTCAGCCTTGAGGTCCTCTCCTTCTCATTTTCCTATTGAAATTATAAACAAACAATCTGTATTCAGTATTCCATTATAAATTTCAATTGTAGTTTCTCTACCCTCATCAATTCCTCAAAAGATTCACACTTCAACACTTCTCAAAAAGTCTCAAATGGCTTCCACCACCGCAAAAGAAATAGCTTCAGAGCTGCTCCCTCTAATCAGAATATACAAAGACAGCACGGTGGAACGCCTCATGGGCTCTCCCTATGTGCCCCCATCCCTTCGTGACCCAGAAACCAACGTCAGCTCCAAAGACATCACCATCTCACAAAACCCTAGCATCTCCGCTCGCCTTTACCTCCCTCTTCAAAACCAAAATTACCAGCCCCCCAAAAACCCTATCCCCGTCTTGGTTTACTTCCACGGTGGTGGATTTTGCTTCGAATCCGCCTTCTCATCTGACCACCACCGTTTCCTCAACCGCTTGGTCTCGCAAGCCCAAGTCCTCGCCGTCTCAGTTGAATACAGGCTCGCCCCGGAAAACCCAATTCCCATGTGTTACCAAGATTGCTGGGATGCTCTTGAATGGGTCTCTTCCCACAAACCCCACAAAGAATCAGATGCTAGCAAGGCTGACGAAGAGCCATGGTTGGTCCAGTATGGTACTTTTGATAAATTGTACATTGGTGGTGATAGTGCAGGTGGAAACATTGTGCATAACGTGGCTATGAAGGCAGGGTTTGAGAGTTTGTGCGGTGGGGTGAAAATTGTGGGGGCATTCATGTCACACCCTTACTTTTTAGGGTCAAGGCCAATTGGATCAGAGCCTAAAGGAGAAAACTTTGAGAAGTGGCTGCCTTGTAGAGTTTGGAAGTTTTTGTTCCCATCAGCTAGGGGTAGCGATAATCAAATGGTGAATCTGGCAGGTGAAGGTGCACCGAGCCTGGCTGGACTCGGGTGCTCCCGACTGCTCGTGTGCGTTTCTGAGAAGGATGAGCTGAGGGATCGAGGCATTTGGTATTACGATTTGGTGAGGAAAAGTGGGTGGGAGGGAGAGTTGGAGGTGTTTGAAATGGAAGGTGAGGAACATGCTTTTCATATCTTGTGTGAGGGCAAGACTGAGAATGTGAAGATTATGATCAAACGCTTGGCTTCTTTTCTTGTCTAGCTAGTTGTTTTGTTGAGCACTGTTTTCGGATTCAATATGACTATTCACACCTACAACACCCTAATCCTATCTCTCATGAGGTCCTTTAGATGTAGATCCTTACAACTCTTGTGTATTAGAATTTAAGAGTTGATCACGATAAGAAAAACATCAAATGCAGGAAACTTTTAACTGAAGTGATTAAGATTCTTCTTTTCTAGCAAGATGCATAAACACATATGTAGCGCTTATAAAAAATAAGAGAAGCGTTATACTTGTAATTAATTGTAAAAAGAGGTTACTGGAAAACTTGCAATTTTCCAGTTTCTTATATGTCTGTAAACCCGATGGAAAAATGAATGAATCGGAAAGTTCAAAAATAAGAGAAGTATGGAAAGGGAGTAAGAATAAGTAGTCCCAGTAGACGATCCGATTCCCATTTTTTTATTTTTTATTACAGATTTAAAGGGAAAACTTGTCCTTTTCTGATTTTTTATGTGTAAATAAACACATGAAAAGTTAAAGAGTGAAATGATTCCCCTACTCATATTTTAGTAAACACATAAAACTCAAGAATTGAAATGATTCAATTTTTAATCCTTGTAAATAAACAGACCCTCAATTGAATCTTTCTTCAATCTATTGAATATGTTGTGCTTACGATCGTTTTATCTTTTGGGTTCTTCAATCTTTACCGTTCCATCAGTTGATCATTTTGAGCCTTTTATGATTGACTTCTGAATGGAAGTTTTACACCTCATGTTTTAGGACATAACTGTTGTAATCAGGCAAATTTGTAGCCAATGGGTATTCCGAGAAGCACTCAACTACGTCACCACATTACCACTTAATATTACGTTTTAGTAGTATTTTTTTTATTTCTAAGTGAAAGGTATTACGTTGAATTTTCGTCAAAGACGACGTCGAACCAAATTATTGTAGTCATCCCATTATAAGGTTTATCTCACTTCCAACAGTAGATAATATCTAATATATTAAGAAAAATATTACTACATTTAGAGCCGGCACAAATGCAAGGCAAACAAGTCATGTGATTTCGGGCTCACTTTTTTTTTTCTTTTAAATATGCCTTGAGCCTTCCAGAACTCTTTTTTTTATACCCCTTACTGTACATATATATCTTTTTCTTATTCATCGTATTCTCAACAAAAGAGAGAAGGAAAAATAAAAATTTCAATTATTCTCCTAATTTTAATCTAATGTGCCTCAATTCTTATTGTTTTTTAGATGGTTAGTAGATTGGATTGGAAAGTGTAGTCTTAGTCCTTAGTTTGCATTGAGAAGGCCCCATCGATACATCATCGAGGAGTGAGTGATTGCAGATGCTTACCATATATCATTCAAAATATTGAAGTATTACTTAATATTCATGAGAGTCGATCATTAGACTTTTTACTTACAAGTAAAAAGAATATCAATGCATCGTCGTATTAGTAAGTAGTGGCAATGAAAATGGAACTTAAGAACTTTTAATCATTCGAATTCTATAGTGCCCTAAAGTGTGCATAGATCTTATATCTTGCAATCTCCAAATTCAAAGTTGCATGCATTATTGCGATTTATTCATATTTTTACATTCTGACACAAAATATGGGCCTCTACCATGGGCCGGACCGAAACAATGTAATGGCTTGGTCCAAAAAAGCCCATTTTCCACCGGACGGGTAACCATCTTACTGTTGTTTAACAAAACAGCAATCTCAGCCGTCCAATCCACCCTCAACCCTAAACCCTCTCTCATATAACATTTCCCACACACCGCCTCGCGCCTCCATGCTCATAGCGCGCAGAAACACATAGAGCCCCTCGAAAGCCCTGAAGGAGGAGACCCAAACCCCAGAGCACCAACCATGGCGGCCCCAGCAATCGAGTCCGTACAATGCTTCGGGCGGAAGAAGACGGCGGTGGCAGTGACCTACTGCAAGCGCGGACGCGGCCTGATCAAGATCAACGGCTGCCCAATCGAGCTCGTGGAGCCGGAGATCCTCCGATTCAAGGCCTACGAGCCGATCCTGCTGCTCGGACGACAGCGCTTCGCCGGCGTGGACATGAGGATCCGAGTGAAAGGCGGAGGCCACACCTCCCAGATCTACGCGATCCGTCAGAGCATTGCCAAGGCCCTGGTGGCGTTTTACCAGAAGTACGTG